AAATATTTTGTTAGCAATCAATACCAACTTGTAAGTGTCAAGGAGGAAAAAAATATAGTATCTGCATATAGACACTGTGTAATTACTTACATTTCAATGTCATTAACTTTTTAAATTATACATTATACACATACACATATACACAATTGAGTGATTAAAAAAGGCTGGCATCTGGTGTTTATAAGCATTGACTCTGACAGGAAAGTCTGACAACGTTGGCTGGAAGAAGCCTCTTCAGAAGTGCAGCACTCTTTACAGATTTCTCCTACACAAGTTTTTGTTCCATCTCTGCCAGAATGACAGGTATGCAATTAGCAGACAGGGTCATAACTACAGTGTGATTATGTTTGTGATTGTTTTGTGGGTTTGTGCATGACCCAAGAGGAAATGCAGTAGTTAAAAGGAGAAATATATAACTTTGCATAGAATAATAGCATGGTTTCTGTTGAAAGAAACCTTTAAGATCACCTAGTTCCAACCCGTGCTATAGGCAGGGACATCTCCCACTAGACCATGTTGCTCAAAGCCTCAACCAGCCTGGCCTTGAATGCTTTCAGGGAGGAGGCAGCCACAACCTCTTCGGGCAACCTGTTCCAGTGTCTCATCAGTCTCATAGTAAACAATTTCTTCCTAATATCTAGTCTAAATCTACCCTCTTCCAGTTTAAAGCCATTTCCCCTTGTCCCATCAATACATGTCCTTATAAAAAGTCCCTCCTCAGCTTTCCTGTAGGCTCCTTCAGGTACTGGAAGGCTGCTAAAGGTCCCCCCAGATCCTTCCCTTCTCTAGGCTGAATAGCTCCAGCTCTCTCAGACTGTCCTTGTAGGGAAGGTCTTCCAACCCTCTGATCATCTTTGTGGCCCTCCTCTGGACCTGCTCCAACAGCTCCATGTCCTTATATTTGGGGATCCAGAACTGGATGCAGTACTCCAGGTGGGGTCTCACAAGAGCAGAGTAGAGGGGCAGAATCACCTCCCTTGAACTGGTCACACTTCTTTTGATGCAACCCTGGCTACGGTTGGCCTGCTAGGATGCAAGCACATTGCCAGCTCACGCTGAATCTTTCATCAACTGACACTCCCAAATCCTTGTCCTCAGGGCTGCTCTCAAGCCATTCTCCACCCAATCTGTATCTGTGCTTGGGATTGCCTCAACCCAGGTGCAGGACCTTGCACTTTTGTCCTAAGACTCTGCTATCTTCTTACAAGGAAGTCTATTTACAGTTGCTTATGGAGTCTAGAGAGATTATGGATTCACCATACTATCACTCTCTTTTATGTACAGTAATTATTTTTGCAAAGTTCCTCTTACAGGATGCCTATAGCATGGCTTTGTCACACTGCATGACATCCTTAGGAATTCCCCCAGTCCCCATGGCACATATGTGCTTGCACACACATAAACAACAGGCTATTTCTACACTAACCCATGCCAAAATACTTTTTATGCTGTTGCTTTCTCAGCCTCCAGACCAAACAGAAAGCCCACATGTATTTCCAGATCAAATAACAGAAGTCAAGGGTGAAATGAAAAAAAGAGGCTCGCCATCTCCAAAGGGAACACAAACATGTGATACATGGAAAAGTGCAAACAATTTCGTTTTTTGAAGGTGACAAAACCTTCAATTTAATCTCATGAAAAACACTTCAGCATCCTCTACAGAGGCTGTGGAAAAGAAATGATTGCTGAAAGCCACCAAGGCACAAATAACAGCATTCTCATAATGGCATTTTAAAGATAAAGAAAGTTTACAAAGATTATTCTGGTCTAGGGTCACCCTAGAGAATCCCTAGAGAATCAGTGTTACAGCTGGGGGGAATCTAAAAGTAAGCAAAAAAGCAGTTGTCAGCACCATAGTCTGCAAAACCCTGGCTCAAAACTAAATGATTTAAATGATTGAGCCTGAACATGAAAGCATGTTCCACATTAATTGGGCCGATTTCAAGGACTGGCAAATCAAACTCAGTTCAAAATATTATCAGCATGGCACAAAAACAAAGAAACAAACAAATTTTTAAAAACAGTTATGTGCCAATCAGAGAGCACCTCTCAGAGGTACATGAAAAACAAAATCTTTTTCTTGAGCCACAGGCAGAAGCAAACCCTATGCAGCACAGCATATGCAGATTGATGCAACCACTGTGTCTTTGCCACATTCAAGTCTGTGTGAGCTGTCCCTGTTCTAACAGCCCTCTCCCCACTGTCTATGTAATCAGAGCACTCATGTCCTGCTCTCACACTTCACCCATGCCATCATCTCACTCCATTTCATTACCATCACTACTGCTCAGACATGGTCATATTTCAGAGCCACTCAGAATTGTAGCTAAAAACTATTAGGATTTGTCCTTTTCATATTTGCTGTTATCTGGTGATCAATACCAAAGGATCATCTATTAATCCTCCAGCTTCTGATAAAAAAAAACAAAACACCACTACCACAGTGAGAGAGAAGTGTATAGTACACACAGCTAACGTGAAAGACTTTCTAAAATAGTTTTCTGATTTCATATTTCATAGTTTGATGGGCTCCTTTTAAAATAAATTAAAAACTAACTAGGATGTACAATAATCTTGTGCTGAAAAGCTCTGCAAAATCAAACTTATTAAAAATAACTTGTATTAATGAGCTACACTTTTATCCAGTATGACTCCATTAACAGTATCTAACATCAATGAAGTCTTAGTTCCACAGAGGTTTCTGTGCACATATTATCCATGGAGACAACTCTTCGCAAGAATTGCAAGAGTCCATGAAAGCCATTACTAGTCCCACGATACTCTGTTCATTAAATACAGTCGTGTTCATGTAGACTCAAAGATATGAAATGCTTTAAGGCCAGTATAAACCCAAACTTATATTTCCTGCAACGTTTGTTTGACTACTTGAAATAGTATATTACTTTTCTATTGGAAAATAATGTCCTTTGATGACAAAGATTTTGATTATAACTATAAATAAAGTCCTTACCACAATCTTGTAAGTTTGAGCTGTCACTGCCAGGATATTTAGATGGCAAGACAGACAAGCATGTAGACCCTGGATTTCTAGGGAGCTGTACACACCTTCAGCAGAGCACGCCTTCAAAAAGAGGGAAGAACTGCTATAAGTAACGTTGACCCTGTGGTAGTGGACAAGAGAGCAGAGCCTGATCTGGGAGGCAGGAAGATAGGGTGGTCCTTCCTCATTTATCTGAAACTGTGCATCATTCAAGGAAATGAAGCTCCATTTACAGTCTATGTGCCTTGGTTTGTTACCCCAGGACCATCCTACCTGCTGATCCTGAAGAATAGCTTGTAAGCACTACCTGTCATCAAATCCTCTTCCCTTCTACTGTGGGAGCAGCAAATTTTCCCATGCATACTCCTGTGAGAAGTATTGTTTCCTTGGCAGTCAATCAAGCTCAAATGTGGCACACAAGGCCCAGCCTGAAAAAGTGAAGAGTGTGCAAACCTCTCCCAAGGGAAAGTAGACGGCTTTAGGAAGACACTCTCAAAGAAGGACAAAGGAACAGCAAGCTTTGAACTGCAGCACATAGCTTTTAACCATATCTAATATCACCTACATTTATTTCCATATCACTTTAACAAAATGACTTCTGCCATCTCCTTTGAGTCAGTTTCATACAGTCACTGCAAGGGTTATGCATGGTGATGAAGTTCAGCATTACTCAGGTTTCTCTCAGGACTGCAAAAATGCAGAATTATCATAGTTACAAATGAGGTGTGTGTGCTGGGAGAGAATTATTTCTCTTGGAATCTAGAGTGGATTCCTTTCTCTTTTGTTTTTTATCATTAGCTGAGACAGGAGAGTAAGTCACTATGACAAGTGAATTTATAGAGTATGTACCATGACCTTGCCAGCTCTGGAGATGGATCTACTTGCTGTTTATGTACTCACAGCACCATAAAGACAAATACTCTTGTTAATGTAATATGTTTTCAGAGATCATTTCACCATTAAACCATGATCTTCTGGATATGGGAGTAGGTGACAGCTCTCATGTTCAGTCAAGAGGAGCAATCAATTAAGAACATAAACACAGACATTTGCAACAGCAGTCATTATGTAGAGAAATTTCCCACAGGTAGGAAACCACATGAAACTCACTCTGTGTGTATCAAAGAATGTAGTCTAAGCTAGCCACCCAGCTTTGATGCCTTGCATTTCTAATGGCTCCAATAGCATCAGAGCCCACACAGCAGTCTCAGCTCTGTGCTGGCTACTTCTGCCTCCAGTACACATGAAGACTACATGACTACAAGTGGAAACTGGGCTTACATAAGGTCACAGATGGGGGACTAGCAGGAAGCTCTGAGACACCACCACAGAAGTTTGCTGGATGTATTCGAACACAAGAACACACAGACTCAGATCTCTGACAAACAACTGCCCCCAGTGCCTTAGGAGTCTAAATATCTTTCCATGCTACGTAACATCACTTCTTTCTGGGCATTGGAAATTCCCATGTTAAATGAGTCAGAGAGATAAATGCAGCACCAAGACTTTCTTTGTTTAAATTTCTTTAAATATTTAATGAGTTCCTACCTCACAACAACTGCATTAGCTTCTGCACACACAACTGCACACTGGTCTAAACCAACCTCTGCCATCTTGGAAAACAAACAATTTGCTTCCCCTTTTGGATATCCATCATAGCCCAGGGCAACTTATGAACAGAAGCAAAAAGGGAATTTTCTTATGGCAGCTCCAGTTATTTACAGCCCAATACAACTGCTATAAGCTGTTAAATCTTCAGTGAGAGTTCCTGTGTGATTCTACGTTTTGACTGATGTTTGGGAACACTTATGCAGATCTCCATTTCAAAATGACTGATTGTGGATCCTAATCATTGATCAGTATGATACGTGAAGTTTCAGAAAATGATGAAGTCTTTTTTGCCCACAAGTATCATTTGTCCTTGTTCCCAGAAATATAAGTTCCTTTGAAATGAAAAATAATGCTTATAAACAATGATCACAGAAAACTTGAATGAAAAATGAAGGATGAACCAAGGCATCGTTATTTCTGCGCTCATTTTCTTCGCTGTCGTGGGAGACACAACGCTCCCACGCGGGCTGCTGGGCAGCCTGGTCTCGTATTAACTGTGGAGGCTGGTGGCCCCGCATGTGGCACGGGGGTTGGAGCTTCATGATCCCTGAGGCCCCTTCCAACCCTGCCATTCCGCGATTCTGTGATTCACCACAGCCTCTCCGGACGGCCGGGACAGGCAGTAACGCGCCACCTCCCCACGCCGGCTCCGCCCCGCCGCATCGCGGCGTGCCTCGCACAAGATGGCGGCGCCCACGCTGTCGCGGCGCTGTTGCCGCGCGGCGGAGTTATTTGGCGCCCTGCGGCGGACCCGGCCACCGGGAACGCGGCACGTCCACGAGCGGCCGCAGCGGGCCCGGGGCGCCAAGGGGCTGCTGGCGGCGCAGTTCGAGCGCGGCCTCTTCCAGGAGGTGTTCCCGGCGCAGGGCGCGGACGAGCAGCTGGAAGCGCTGCTGGAGCCGGGCCGCCCGCCCGTCGCCGTTTACTGCGGTTTCGACCCGACGGCGGACTCGCTGCACGTCGGGCACCTGCCGGCCGTCATGGCGCTGCTGCACTTCCAGCGCGCCGGACACACCGTCTTGGCTGTGGTGGGCGGCGCGACGGCGCGGCTGGGCGACCCCAGCGGCCGCGAACGCGCGCGGGAGCCGCTGGAGGCCGAGAAGGTGCGGGCCCACGCGCGGGGGCTGCGCGAGGGGCTGGGGCGGCTGCTGGAGAACCACCGCGCGCTGTTCTGGGCGGCGGGCGGAGGGCGGCCCCTGGGCCGGGCGGAGCTCCTGGACAACGCGTGGTGGCTGGGCCGCGAGCCGCTGCTCGACTTCCTATGCGGCGCCGGCGGCCGCCTCCGCATGGGCACGTTGCTAAGCCGGCAGGCCTGCCAAGCGCGGCTGCGCAGCGCCGAGGGCATGAGTCTGGCCGAGTTCCTGTACCCCGCCCTGCAGGCCTACGACTTCTTGCACCTCCACCGGCACCACGGCTGCCGCGTGCAGCTGGGCGGCGCCGACCAGATGGGCAACATCATGTCCGGATACGAGCTCGTCACCAAGTACGTGGGGGCGGGGCTGCGGTGGACGGTGGCTGTGCTTGGGACCTACGGGTAGTCCGGGTGGGTGGTAGAGCCGGCGGCATCCCGGGTTGGATCAGAAATAGCGCGGCCAGCGGGAGCGGGGAGGTGATCGTCCCTCTGTACCCGGCACTGTGGGACCGCATCTCCAGTGCTGTGTTCAGTTCTGGGTCCTTCAGTGCAAGAAAGAGACTGGTGCCCTGGAGCGTGTGCATCAAAGGGCAGTGAAGCTGTAAGGGGTCTGGAGCTCTGGGCTTGTGGGGAGCAGCTGAGGGAACTGAGATTGTTCAGTCTGGAGAAGAGGAACTGAGGGGATGCTTCATCACTCTATGAATGCCTGAAAGGAGGCTGTGGTGTGGTGGGGGTCGGCCTCTTCTTCCAGCTAGCGATGATAGGATGGCAATGGCCTCAAGTTGTACCACAGGAGGTACAGGTTGAATATTGGGAAACATTTCTTCTCAGCAAGAGTGGTGCTGCAGTGGCACAGGCTGCCCAGGGAGGTGGTGGAGTCATCATCCCTGAAGGTATTCAAGAACTGTGTGGATGTGGCACTGAGGGACGTGGTCAGTGGGCATGGTGGGGATGGGTTGGTGTTGACCTAGACAATCTTAGATGTCTTTTCCAACCTTAATGACTCCGTGATTCAAACATCTTGAATGACAGCATGCAGACAGATCTGCTGCTGCCAAATACTATCAAGGTGTAGTTGCACCAAAGTGTAGTATGTGCCTAGAGATGGCTGCAGTGCTTCCCCCAGAAACACAGTGGAAGCTGCTGCTGAACCTTTGCTTATCCCCAAGTTAGGTGCCAGTCTTGCATAATTCAGAGGCACTGCTGGTTGTAGGTGGCAAAGTTTGGCCTTGCATGCGTGCTTGACAAGACTCTCGGAACGGAAAAAAACTGCATAGGTATCCTAACCCACAGGCAGCCTCAGTTACTATTTAGAGCAGAAGACAAAAGTACAGGTCACATTAACTTGCTAGTGCTGCTACTCACAGAGCTATTTTACATACTTAAACTTCATTGCACAAAGAACTTAATTTTTTTTTTTTTTTTTCCTAAAGCACTCTTCATAAAGCACTTCTGAATTACTTTGCTAACAGCTGTGTAACTGCTAAAGGATAATATCTTACAGGATGCCTGAGTTTTCTTAACGATGACCAAAATGTGATTTTTCATCTTCTCTAATCCTCACAGGATGACAGGAACAGATGTGTTTGGAATTACTGTGCCTCTTATTACCAGTACTACTGGAGATAAACTGGGAAAGACTGCTGGCAATGCAGTTTGGCTAAACAGAGATAAGACTTCTCCGTTTGAGCTGTATCAGTTTTTTGTTAGACAACAAGATGACATAGTTGAGAAGTAAGTAGTTTTTCTTCATCTGTCTTCCTGGCTTTGTTTATGAAACTACATCCTGGTGGTTCTCTGTAACTGTTGCATGTGGATGTACTTCCAGTACATGCACACATATTTATATCTACACAGTGGATCATCTTGCATAGTTTTTGGGCTGATTGCACTCCACTTGGGACACCACTGGCTAGGCTTAATAGTGTAACTGCAGTACAAACATCTCTCATAACTTGGCTTGATTCCTGTATGGAGGTTCTGCATCAACTGCACTTTTCAGGCTGAAAAAAGGCTGTGTGGATATTTAACATCAAAATGTTTAATGCTTTCAGACTTTGTAATCATGGAAGTACCTTCATTAATACACTGAATTCCACACAGCTGCATGCCCATTTAAATAATCCTTGTTGTAAAGAGTATACTTCTGATATGCACCTTTAAATTGTTGATGATCCTAAATAATCTTCTGCAAGATACGCAGTCATCAACGCACTGCGTAATTCTGTCTGGTGATCAGCATAGCTGCATGGCTTTGCATTAATGTACTGTGTAACTACTAAGGATGTAAGTTAGAACCTCCCAAGTAGACACACAATTGCACTGCATTCTATAAAATACACTTCATTAGAAAAGTAAATTCCTGATTGTAGTACAAGCTTCATAAAAGCTTTTGGAGCTGTTTTATTTCTGTACGCATTACCCTTAATAAAATGGTAAATAAAACACGAGTTACCATTTTAAATTTAATTATGTGGGCAAAAACAAAGAGTTGTTTGAAAGAATAGCTATAACATGGATTTCTTAAAGAAATAAGAATCATTTTAGTGCAGTTAATGAAGTTTGAATGACAAGGACAGGAAATCTGTAACAATGTTTTTATAGACAAAATAATTTTTTTTCCCTGCTCACAGATACCTGAAACTCTTCACCTTTCTTCCTCTTGAGGAGATTGACCACATCATGGAAATGCATGCCAGAGAGCCTGAAAAATGGGGCCCTCAGAAACGACTTGCAGCAGAAGTAACAAAACTTGTTCATGGCAGAGAGGGGCTGGAATCTGCTAAGAGGTGAAGTTCATTTTGTTGAGCAGTTCTCTTTCAGATATATCTGATGGTAGTTCAGTTATGTGTAGCTTTTCAGGGACTGTTTTAATGGAGTTAGCTGAGACTTTGCTATTAAGAGAAATATATAGCAATGCTCTAGACTTAAGAGATACATAAACTATATTAAAATTGCAAGAGAATGGAGTCCAAAAAAACCCACGAATTCAAAGTTAGAATGGTAGCTCCTAAATTCTTCTGTTATTGCGCGGAGCATCAGAAGAAACTGGGGAGGGAAATCTGTTCAGTTGAACTGTGCTTTGTCCAAAGATGAGACTAGAACTGATTCTGAATGATTTTTGTTCTCACAGGTGCACCAAAGCCCTTTATCACAGCAGTGTGGAGGCACTGGAAGCTATGTCTGACCAGGAGTTACAGGAACTTTTTAGACAGGCTCCTTCGGCTGAATTGATGCTTGAACCTGGAATGACTCTGCTTGACCTGTGTCGCAAAGCAAATGCCATTCCACATGGACCTAGTGGGTATGCTATCAGCCCCACTCTTCAGTAGTACCTCACTTAAACGGGTGGAAGTGGTGTGCTCACTTTAACAAGAGGTCAGAATAACTAAAACAGATAGTAAAGTGTAAGTTACCTGCATGCTGTAGAATCAGAGAATGTCTTGGCTTGAAAAGGACTATAATGATCATCTAGTTTCAATCCTCCTGCTGTGTGCAGGGTCACCAACCATGTGACCAGGCTGAGAGGGGAGGCCTCATTGCATTTTGAAGAGAAAGTGTAGAATAATGCAGTGTCATGTACCATAGCTGTAAAATAAACAGCTGAGAAAGAGACAGCAACAGATTATGTTCCCTTTATCCCTCTCAGGAGGAGAGGATGTGTACAAGACTTAAAATTTATTCAGTTACAAATTAAACCAAAGAAGCATCTGAAATAGCTCTTAACTGATCTTTCAGTACTTACCAGCAACAGGTATCTTCCTCTTGCAATTACTCATTGTTTTTGTTGTTGGTTTCTTTTTTTTAAGGTACCAGAAAATTACAGACGGTGGAGTTTCAGTAAATGGGATTCGTGTAACCAATCCTGAGACTGTTCTTATCCTTGGACAGCATATTCTCAAGAATGGAGTATCATTGCTTAGGATTGGAAAGAAAAACTACTACATTATAAAATGGCTCACATTGTGACAAGAAGAATATCTTCCTAAAATTAGACACCACTTCAACTCTGTTGCTTGAAGAATGTAATTGAAGACGTTTCTATACTGTGCAGCTCACAAACTGCCTAATAGCATAGTTTCAGTTTTCAGAATACATCAACAGAGTTCAAATAAAGGCAGCTGAGATTCTAAACATGTATGATTTCATGTTTTAGCTCTGGAAGTGAATCACTGAACCAGAAAATGATAGAAATCCATACCAGATTTTTTCCTCATCTCCTGTTCATCTCAATCCTTCACAGTGATCACGCTTCACGTAGGCCACAGATTGCATATAGCAGAAAAAGCTGCATGCTATATTATAGCAGTTGCACACCTACACTGGATTTTTTAACTCCACTAAGGTTATGCATTATAATTTGTTACAGCTGGGCTTTTTCTTAACTTACTCCTTTTTAAGTTAATGCAGTGGCTGTCAGTATCAGCTGTTGCCCATGAAGAGTACGGATTCATGTGATGTGCTCTCTCCACTAAAGTATAAGATACAGATCTAAAATACCAAAAAGGAGTGTTTGAAATTGCTTTGGAAACAGGTACCACTGAAGTACAGAACTGGAAAACTGTCACATGCAGCTCTTAGAAGTTACACCGATGAAGAGAGATTTCAAGCACCATTCACAAAAGAATGTGCACGAGAAGATGAAAAGATCCATTTCAAGGAACCAAGATGGAAACTCTCTTCCAACTACTGTATTGTAGGTGGGAGGGGCAATGGTCACCAGATATGCTACAGAACAATTCACAGCAAGATGTGCAAAAGGATACTTGAAACCTTTCCTAACAAGATGAATGCTGCTGTTGACTTTTGACTTCATCCTAACATAGAAAATCAGGATAAGTGGGTAAGGACAAACAACCTACTATCAACAGTTTTTTGTATTTTTTTTTCTTAACAGGTTTGGTTTAAAGCTGCAGAAGATTCACAATAAATAAGTGAAACAGTTAAGTCCTGATAAGTAAGTTTATTATTGGTTATGTATGGTAGCATAATGTGTATGAGCTTTGCAGCTTTATTGTGGTAATACAGAACTGATTCACTTCTTGAAATGGGAGGGGAGATAGATAAGTGTTTTTGCAATTAAAATCCAGCCCTTCAGACAGGGCAACATGCAAAGGCAGCACCTTTTCATTACAGAACACAAAATCGTTCTAGTGCTTATGGCCTTGCTAACATTTGGGAGCACAGCTTCCCAATTCCCTTGTAAGGCCAGCACAAAGGTGAGGACATACTTCAGGGAGTAGATGGAACATTACATTTAAAGGCAGTGGTGTTTTATTCATTGTTCTGAAAAAAACACCTTCACTGCTGGACACTGATACTGCTTACACACCTAAAATCTGTACAGAGCCTTGCTATCTTCAGACTTTTCCCTTCCTGCATTGGTGTTGCTTATGGAACATTGGTCCCACATTATTCACAGTCCTGCAATGTAAACAACACAAAGCTACACATGGTTACCAAAAATATTAGCAGTAAAAGTTGATACTAAAATAACATAGAACTGGATAACTGACTGCAAATTACAGTAATTTAGCAGACTGGCTCAAACTCGGGTGTTGCTTTTTTGTTCATTTCTGAAGGGACCCTTCCTTCCTTCCCCAGTGTAAACAAATGTGAAATCCTCTTGGATTTATAAAGTGATTGCTTTGGGCACTGACTGCAGTGTAGTTTGCAAAGATTCAGTTAATCCTTGCTGGGGGGAAATGCTTTCCTAGTCTGTCAAACTGTAGCATCTTACAGTTTTACAGTCACAGCAGCTGCAAGGAGACCAACCCCAAACTCAGCTGTCTAGATAGTGGTATTTAATAATCATCTCTTACACTGTTGGAATAAGTCATGGTATTTCAGCTTCTTCAAAACCATCTGATACATAAGAATTGGGAAATAACTACAAGAAATTCTAACACTTCTCTAGGACCCCTAATATTCTCTATCTTTCAGGGCAGGAGAGGAGGGGAGTAGTGGTTTTTGTTGTTGCTTAATCAACTTGGTGGTGGTTTTATTTGCATTGTCAACCAAGATTTCAGTAATAACAAGTTATGGTGACTTACTGCTTATACACCAGGGCTTATTTTTCAGATTAAGCTGTAACATGGTGGTGCTTCACTACATGGAGTTATTTTCAGTCTAAGATCCCAATTACTTATTGAGATATCCACATCCTCTATGTTATTTTACTATCTGTAATATACAACAGTATGCAACAATATCGTGTATATTCTATAGCTATATGAAGACAAAAAAAGTACTTAAGTTATTCCTTCCTTGAAAAGAAAAAAAAAAAACACCTACATATCTTGTCAGTTTTCAAGACCAGTTTGCATTTCTTGCAGTTTTGCCTTGTGCTGCAATTATGATCAGAGCTATCCTACACATACAAATCGAAAAAACCAAACACAGTTCTGATGGGAAAATGATAGAAGAGCAGCAAGAGAAACTAAGCAGTTCTTGCTTTCCTCGAAGATCTACTTTGTGTGCTTTTGTATTTATCTTGTTCCTTACTTGGTAGAAGCATTCCAGCAATACCAAAACCTGCACCTGAGAACAAAATACACCAGTGCACACCCATATTAAGCTCCAAATAAACACAAATAGGAGTTAACAGCTACTTTCTGCTTGCAGATAAAGCTCCTCAGAGTAGATTAAGTCATTTTTTATACCTAATCTCCTCCTGCCTTTTTCCCCTCTGTATCCACAGATCCTCATATATCCTCAAATTTCAATTTATTTTTTAAAGCATTAGCACCCACTTTCATCAAGTATTAAAAGGATTTTATTTGTTTTTACAAATACAAAATTGAAAAAGTTAAATTCTCTGTATACAAGATTTATAATAAGATCCATCAACTCCAAGAGCTTTATTCTGTGCTTTCTAACCAGCTCCTAGTAATCCAAACCCTTCCCTGATTCTTTCTAAGAGGTGGCTGGATGTAATCACTACATTTCACACACACCCTGTACACCTAAGTGTTACAACAGTTAGGCCAAGAATCAAAGACAACTTAAAAACCCAGTATTCATTCTTGGGCTGTTTTTATTCCTCAGATACCAAAATATACTCAAATCAGGTATGTTCAGGTGATCATTCAGAGACAGAGCTCCTTCAGAGATGAACAAGTGGAAATAGACTATGAAGTATTTACTGCATGTACAAATGTGTGATTTGCAAGTATAGGAAGAAAAGCAGTATTTTTGGGTCAGAGATTTAAAAAGAACAACAAATGAAAAAAAAAAACAACCATCTGCTTAGCAGCAGGAGACAGCACAAACCAGAAGGCTCGAATATTGTGGCAGCCAGCAGTAAGTGGTGGCTGCTTTCAAGTAGCACTTCTATTTGTAAAGGTGGTAGGAGGTGAGAGGGCCTGCAGCGAATAAAAAAGAAGCTATCTGATCATAAGAACACCTTCAGCAGTTTAAAAGATGCAACTATTTGGACATAATACACAGTTGGTCTACTCTTTTTTAACTTCAAAGAATTAATCGTCCAGTTCTCTCACCTCCAAATGCAGAATTTGACTGGCAATAAGTTAAAAAATTGTGCATTTGAGAACTTCAGTATCAGCAGAAAACACTGTTAGTCTGCTTGCATAATGGAAGGATTTAATTGAAGGGAAAAAAAATACACAAAATTATGCAATTTTGAAACAGAAACAGCAGACTGGTAAGTTTTTTCCCCTGCTTGCAGTTCCATAAAGCAGGGACCTGAGTTTGCAGGGTGTCCAATTTAGCATCTCTTATATTTAGTCCTCCATACCACAGAGGTTAAAAATGAGTTTCACTTCAGTTTTGATGCATTTTACTTCAGAATACAGTTTGAAGCAGACAGACACTCCCCTTACCCACCAAGTGAAGTTCGAAACTGACTACTAAAAGACTCACAAAATTTATTGACAAACTTTTCACACAGATACTGTATATTTACAGTACTACCACACACAGGTCAGGTATTAAATGTCAAACATTTACTAGTCTAAACTTGGCTACAGAAGTTGTTCTCTCTGCGATTGCTTCACAGGATAGAAGTTGGTTGGTTTGTTTGTTTTTTTAATTAAACTGAAAGTTGATCATTGATGACAGAAGTATTTCAGGTTTAAATTAAGTGAGGTTGACTGTAAGAGATGCATCATCTAATCTAGTGAGACTTCTCACCAGCTGCCCAGTATTTCTTCTAAGGGTGGCAGCAACAATAGCACTTAGTTCTGTTTCAGACAATCCATAAAACAATTAATGGCAACCAGTTGCCTATCAACCCTATTACTTACGTAACTGCAGCAGCTGTTATAAGAAATAAAGATGATGAATTGCAGGAGGGCAACTGCAAACTTAAGGCTGTAAAAGCATTCTTAGCTATCCCCCAAACTTGTAAGGGTATACAGTCCTGCCACCTGAACTAGAAGTGAGTTCAAAACTTTATTTCTGGGATCATTCATTTTGTATAGTATCTGTTTATTTAATAACAGGGCTGGTACAGCATGGATTTTTCAAGATTTGCACTGAGGTTGACAAGTTCATTTCTTGGCACTCAAACATTACCAAATTAAAAATGTTTATAAAGCAAAAAAAATTAAAAAAATTAACATTAAAAAAAAAAAAAAAGCCACAGATAAACACTTTGGAGACTTCACATGACATTACAGAGCCAGTTATCACTTGCAAGACATTCTTAAATAAATAGAACTCATCTGCTTTATGTAGCACTTGAAAACTTTGTAATTCAGAATATCCCTTGACAACAGACTGCTGATTGACATTTGGGAGTTAAAACATAGGTTCACTTAGAGACAGTTCTGTTTTGTTGAAAACATTTCTTAGATGCCAAAAGTACAAGGGAAGGAGATGCCAGGGGAATTCCAACTACAAATGTAATGCTTTTGACCAAATTCTTCAAAGCTTTCACTGTTGGCTAAAATTCACTTGAGAAGTGGCTTGCACTTCATTACACTTGCATTTCTTACATCTGAGAACTACCATCCCTGAATAAGAAGTGATAAGTTACAATTACTTCCTTTATATTCATTATACGTAACAAACATTGTGACTTTTTAAGCTGTTTAAAAATACAGATTACATTTCTATGTCCTGTGTGAACTACTTCAGATAACACATAAAATAACAAGAATTGCACGTGAGACTTAACTCCTTGTGTTTATAGTGGTGCCAAACTCAAAATTATTATGTGAAAGAATAAATTTTTAAAACAGATCTTGTCAGAAACTGAGACCTTAACAGTTTTTTAATTTTTAATTTTTAGCAGCTTCCAGCAGGAATTCAGTTTCTGTTAATTGATGAAATGAGAGAGGAACTGAGTAGAGGAATAAAAGCCTCACGATACTGGCCCAACATCCTAAAAGAAGACCATGGCTGTTAACAGCTGTCTCTCATTTTTCAAATGCAAGTCATGTTAAAGATAAAATATCAGCAACCACAGTACACATTTTTTACTGTATACAGAAAAGTAGATCTGTTTGAAAAGTACATGCAAGTGTGCTGGCTGGAATTTAAATAATTTTTTTATTCATAAAAATTAAAATGCTTATCCTTTAAAGGTTAGCGTGAACAGTGTTTGACTGCATGAATTACAATCAGAAGAAAGTAACTCAACTACCAACTTAAGGTTTCCTAATGTGATTGTCCTTAAAAAAAAAAAAAAAAAAAGAAAAAAAGAAAAAAAAAAAAAAACTACTAACAGTACAATTTTCCTTACAAGTAACTGTGATCTCTAGTATAAATATTCCAATCTCGCAGGCTTTCTTTCATACTGTCCTATCTTCCAAAGTTTGGTACTGTGTTGTGGGGATCCCCTTCTCCCTGGCCAACTTTATCTGTTTTTGAAAAAAACACTTGTTATCCCATAACAGTTTTGAAATCAATTTTTATTTTTTTATTTTTTTTTTCAGTTGTGCCAGAACAGATTTACTATTGGATGGTCCAGGGGCTTGGTCCCAAGGGGAAGAAAGGGGAAGGTGTTCTTGTATCTGATTGTAACCCCCAGCATTTTTATGCAAGCTCCAGTGCACATCAACAACTTGGCACCCACTTGTCAGTAGGCCGTTACTTGTTTGCAAGCTCCAGGCTGATTCATCCTACATGATACTCCTCCATTAAATGAAGTTCAGAATTTTGTCTGCAGTTTTTAACATTCGGAAAGAAATGGGGACACACACGTAGCAATACGGTAGACATCTCTACTGTGCTATAAAATTGACACCTCCATCTGTCATAGTGCATGCAATATAGTCATGAAAGAAAATACTTGGTGCTCTCTTCTCTTCACAGTATTTAAACTTCTATTGTAAAAGCAGCTTAAAACTATGCCACAAGACTACACTGTCCATCTTAACCACAGGCAACCTGTTTAGCAAGTCAGGCACTGGAACTTCAGTGTTTTTCCCCAAGTTCAAATGAGCCTGTCACTGAGACAGTAGACTTGGTCTGCTTTAATTTGCACCAGAAAGCTGGTAAGGAAACATTTAGAGCCATTTATTATGTGGATTAAATACGACTTATTTTGCAAAATACAGCATATTTTTCTGTTTGCAAATCAAACCAACTGTCTTTACATGAGCAGATTTACACAGTTGCAGTACACAGATAAGAGTTCATAAATAAAAATTCTACTCCGTATACCATGCCTAGCAATCCTGAAGTCAGTGTAACCTCCAACGCATATAAATAGCGTGGCTGGTACCGTCTTCACCAAAGATGTGTCTCCCGAATCTCTGCAATGATTTGACTGGCTCGCTGCAAGGCCTGCGCATGGAGAAACAAAAACACCGATGTTAATTGGTATTTCTGAAAAGATTTCTGAAGGAAGCAAGGATGGCAGTCAGAAAGCGTGATGTTAGTGTTTAAATCGAAGCCAGTCGTTTTCATTAGTGGTGATAACCTGGAAGGACGCTGATAAACAACTATGGAACCTCGCATCTGCAAAGGTCATGCAAGTGAGAACTACTACGAAACAGAAGATAGTGCTGAGACTTCAGCAAAGGTATAACTAAATTGTCTCTCTACAGATAAGAGAATTGAGTTATTTTAAAACTGCATTTCTGGTTATAAGTGAAAAGAACTCACTGCCGTTCTGAGCAACATTCAGATGCTCAAGTGTTCCCAGTAACATGCTTATGTTAATGATTCATCTCTGTATATACATACATAAATTCTCAAGAAGAGCAGATCTTTTCACCATACACAATTTTAATGCTTGGAATATCCCCCATAAAACAGAGGGGGAAACTGCACTTCTATTACTTCTGTATTTAGGTGCAGTCTCTACAGTCTAGCCTGCTGAACTTCAGAAATTTAAACTGTTTTGGTTTAAGCTCAATACCAACTAATACTGATCATAATTTTGGTCCAATGAAGCTTACAGTTAAGACACTTTCCCTCCTCATTCAAGTACTTTTATCATACAGTTGCAAAGACTAAACTTGCTACAGGCATCTTGGGTAAACAGTATCTCAGGGCATCTGATCTCTCAAATGTGCACTGTTTGAACAGATTGTGCTGTTCACAAGAGAGAAACACTTCTTACTACTTTAGTGAAGCTGCACTGTTATCTGAGAGGCATTCTTTTCTAAATAGGTCAGTCCTAAGGAGCATTTCAGCTGTAGCAGACTAATACATCACATAACATATAATGAAGAGATGAGGTTTTTTTTAAACACCAGTATGTCCCAAATTCATTGATACAGACATACACGGTGGTCATGATAACTGAGTCTCAACATTTCCTCTGCTTATACTATATGGAACTCTAGATCCACTAGCCACTGGCCTGTAGACTGTGTGAAGATGGGAACAATAGTTAAAAGACTGTAATCAATTTCCCAGAAAAGAACTACTGATCACAATAGAGAAAGTTAAATAAGAGCAAGTGATCAGGAACAAAATCTACCATTTACATGGCTTCAGCTTCATCAACTATTCCCATAAGGCCCTGATCCTTTCTGTCTTTTTTTCTTTTTAAAATACCTTCAGCATGTCAGCTGCCTCTTTTCTGCGCTGCGCCATGTCTTCGGATTCCGTCAGAAGGTCATCCAACAGCAAGGATTTGTACAGCTGGCCCACCAGCTCACTCTGAAGAGTGTCTTTCACGTGGTTCACCAGAAAATGCATCACTGCCTTTGGCACACTGCAAGCACATAAAGATTGTTTCTTCAGGACATAATAAAACCAGGCCTACATCAAAGAATTCACAACACAAGCAAGCAGCGACAGAACCTTGGCTCAAACTACCATGAATCTACCACTGACATATATAAAAGCTTTCTATCTCCAGTAAAGTATCCTGTGCAATTTAAACATCTCATGTCTTCCACATGAGATGGCTGTATTGTATATAAATATATAGTGTAGAAAGTACATGAAAAATAAGTTACTTTTTTTCCCCACAAAGGACCAGAAACCAAATCTCCACTATGCTAGGCATGACAAAAAGGCTATGTCACCCTAGAATCAACCTCACGTGCAAACGCAAAAGGAAAGAGTCAAGGAAAGGATTGATATATCTGATCTTAATCCAATACTGACTGCAGGATCCCTGTTCAAATACCAGACAACACAGCATAAGAGCAATTTACAACAGCAAATGGATTTGAAGTGTGCAAAATGTGTTATTTAGAATGGAAGCAAGCAATCAATGCAATTCAAGAACAATCCTTCAGGAAAAGGGTACAGAATCTGTAAAGCAACATTTTTCAGTTCTATGTTGGGCTACAATATCCCCAATGAAACCATGGTTTTAGCTCTGGATTTCCATGCTGCTAAAATTCCTGGGAAAAAAATAAATACAAGTACTGAAACTACTGGCACCTGATCTTCCCGGGGTCTTAAGGTATGTGTAGGAGTACTTTTCTGAAAAGGTGGAAGTAAAATCATTACACTAGAACAGTGCAAGAATCTAAGGATATAAATGGAGGGTCAAAAGTCAAATTACTGCCCCTTGGGTTATTTCATCAGAATAGCAAGCAGCAGCTGACAATGAAAACATCCATTGTTCTTCCCAATTGATAAATAAAAAAATATCAGTTTAAACCACCATTTTGTTGATGCAACACTGTAAGTAATATTTTACAACTAGAATAGTCTGGGATCTGACGTATACAGTCAGTAATGACTCACTGAGCAGTAATTCCACGTGATCTCATGTGCCCACACTGCTAAATTCTATCATACATCATTGGAATCATATTCCCACATTCGGTTGGGAATTTTCCCTGCTATGCTCTACTGCTTTTAGGCTCTTTACTGCTCAGCTGTGGAGTGACTTCTGGGAAATCATGATGAGACTACATAGGTCTATTAATAGTAAAATAATTAATTTTGCATCCTCTTTTCAAGCCAATGCATTTGAAATTCTACTAAAAGAAGAACTTAAGAAATCTAAAATATTTTGGGAGTCGCCTGGCTAAGAGCGAAAGCAAAACTCTGGTATCTATCCCAGCACAGCTCTGAATCTTCCAAATAAGAGAATGAATCTGCTTTGTAAGTGCAGTGTGGGATGGACATGAGTACAGTCTTTAAAACATTTCTTAAAAATATTTCTGAAGTAGGTCAGGATGTTTTAATGCATCAAATTTGCAATACTTGGCATAGCATTTTTGCTGCATATTTACTGCAAAGAATGTAAAGGGTTAGCCACAGCAGTCCCTATTTGAAACAAAAAGGACAGCAAAGCTAAGTTCTGCCACTGCTACATAACACCCAGAGTTCATTCCAGTTATTTGCTGAAAATCATCCACCTGAATTCTTCATCATCCTTTAGAAAAACTGCCACCTCCTAAATTGAACTAACTGAACCTCATACATCAATGTAACAGAGAATTAAAACTATTAGAAAAAAATCAAGTACTACTTCAGCCTTCTGAATGCTGTGAGGAGTGAGTTTTATAAAAAAGCAAGATTATTATATGATGCTTGAGATACCACAACATTTGTATGGTTTAAATACATCTAGGTTATGTTTTACCTGTCCTGAATATTCTTTCTGACAATAAGGAAATAAGATTTAATGAGCCGTTCAATCACTTCACAATCTCGCTGCTCACGGGCAGAAAGTTTGCGTGCAACAGGTACAGGCTATGTGAAAAAAAAAAGAAAAAAAAAGAAAAAAAAAGAAACCTCAAGTTAAATTCTGCTTATTTGTATAGATAAATAAAACTTACACTGGGGGAGACCAAAACAAACTATTGCTCTTTTAGTCTGATAATTTGATACACGTCATCTGTCTTGCAACACTACTCTGCTATTGACCTAGAGACGTCAAAATCCAGATCTCTGAAACTGAAAGGTCAGATGGCACCAACCAATTTAGTTTTTAAAGCTCACCAAAGGAAGTCAGTTCTGCCAAGACTTTAAGAATCTTCATCTGTTGTTTTTTTTTTGTTTTGGTTTTTTCAAATTTAAATCATTAAATTTTCCTCTGGTATGAAAAATGTCAACTTCAGCAAAAATGAATAGGCAGTTGAATTGAGATGAGCTGAGATTTGCTTCTGTTTTAGAAGTGATCTAGATAAGGATTTTCCTTCATAGAAATTGAAATTTCTGTGAAAGAAAGCCAATTATTCCAAATTGTAGGCTGAAACTAGAAAGGTTAACAAAGGGAGAAGAGAGAGGCCAGAGCTCCCTTTCTCTACAGTGGCCATTATTCATGAAGATATATATTAGTAGCAAAGTCACAACATAAATAATTCATATATTTTACTTCCCGAGCCTTAACTGCAAAGAGGAAGTATGCATCTTTCCATCACACTCACCACATCTAATAGGTTTACAGCATGTCCTTTTTGAGGACTAGCGGGAAGAGCTGCAGCAGGTTTTGGTTTTTCCTCTGCTGATCCCTCCTCTGCTTTTGAGGTTTTCAGCATTCCTCTCCAGTTGCCCGTTCCAGACTCCTGAGATACATCTCCTGCTCCAGCAGCAGCCTGCACAAACAACACATCAGAGAAAAACGTCAGAGTTAAAACTTGAACACTACAAACAAGATCAAATTTGTTATTAGTAAGCTATTGGTAAGAAAGACTCAATAAAAGATTTTCATGTGTGTATTTTTATTTCCATATTCTGCTCTTCTTAGCCCCCACTTTTGTTTTCCCTGTGGGAGACCAATTAGAAGGATACTTTCAATCCATTAATGAGAGTAAAATATCCCTAAAATGAAAGACTTTTTAAACTCGCATTCTTCCTAAAAATGGTATGAAATCTCTTGCACAAATAAGCTTCACCATTTACAGATCACTGCTGAAACACAGTCTTCCTAAATCTATTGGCTTTTACCACGTGTCCTTAGAGTAATGTAGCCTACACTATCAGGATCATTCAGAAAACACATATTAAGATTCAAGATTCACCAAAAGGTCTTGAAAGATCTCAGTGTATTTGAAGTCTTTGTATAGAAACCAAAGTTCTTTACAGTAACAGCTCATGAAATAAATGAAATATATGCATGCTTATGTTTCCAGGTACCAAAGCTATGAATGTATTTGTGTGGCCAGATCTCATGTTACAGAAAGCTTTTTGGTACCAAACGAATAAAAGAAAAATCTCCATCTTCTGGAAGCAGAGATAGCACTGTCTGGGAAGTAAAGTTTCCATTCCAGGGAAAGAATGACTTTTTTCTTGTGAGAAGAGGATGTAATACCCAGTTCTTACAGATTAGAAAACATGGGAGAAAAATATTAGTAGATTGTACACATTAGATCAGTATTAAAAGAAAAAAGAAATTATTTTCATGTGGAACAGTGTTAATTTTTGTTTTGCACCTTCCCATAAGCCTAGCAGCTTTTCTATTTACTACATAGAGTAAAAAAAACCAACAAGGTAATCTCAATGCTGGTCATTAAAGGCTGTGAACCTACTACTTACATTTTCCTTCAGAAATAGGAGGAGTTGAGGTAGAACCATCTATTGTGTTTATAACTAAACCACCCCTATAGGCTGATCTTGGGTCTGAAGAGTGAGGGAGTGGCAAAGGAAGTACACATGAGGAAGAAACCCAACTGAAACGTGCACATAAGTAGTCTTAATAAAATTGCACTGCTCTTCAGAGAAATACAAAATAGATTATAAGAATTCAAATGAACCTCCGTTAATAACAGATGGCCATTGATAAGGAAAGCTCCATTACTTTCTTTCTGATTTTAAAACAGCTATTTAAAGTGGCAAAAATCCCTACACCTCTCCCATCCAGTATTACTGTGGAGCATGATTTGTCTCCAAAGCAGTTTCAGAAAGCTACATTCTTTCATAAGAAACAGAGCACCACAGTATACACCACTTAATAAAGAAGAAGCTTTGTGGGAAACACAAACCAAATTTGGCAGTTTCCTGCAACTTCAACACTAACACTAACAACAACACTAACTTCATTACAGATCCCAATTTCTTTTTAGTTGTTTGCAGCATATTAGAACCAATAAAACTTTGACCAAAATCATAGTTAAAGTTCTACTAATGACTAGATTTTGACTTAACCACTTTGCTGAGGACAGAAACGACAGCTATGCACTAGAAGCAGAACATAAATACACAGTAAAGCAGAAAGCCTGAGTCTCCTTAGTTACTCCTACTACACAAATTTGTGACACTCCATCTTCTGTGACTCCAATGAAAGCAATTAGCAAGGAAGTCTTTACAGCACTTAGCTGTTATTTTACATGGCAACGGGTCTGAAGTGCAAAAAGCCGCTGCAGAATACATTTCACACATAGAAGTGAACAGTTAAAGTCAGACAACAAGGGGGCTCAAGTTTTAACAAATCCTGTAAGGACTCCCTGCAGAAAGCAGGAAACTCACATTTTTAGTTTATCTTCTGTTCTTCTTTAACTGTCAACACATCAAAAACATGCAGTTTAACAACCATGCTGAAAAACTTGGATTACAGTACCATTGCACCAAACAAGCAATTGACAACAACATATTACAACCAAGAGTTTAAACAGAAAGCAGTGGCTTTGCCAACCAGTTGCACATCTTTACCCACCGTTGTGCATACTGAAGTCGTGAAATGTAATGTAGTCTACACCCAGCTTGTTATTAGGGACAGAGAACTAAACACAGACTGCTTCCTGGAGTACCTGAAGTGCACCACAACATCAATTGGCATGCAGTGCTTATAGGAAAAATCAAGACAGACCTTGCCATCAGCCTCAGCAGAAGCAGCAGTAACAGTCTCCTGGGAAGCAGGTGGCAATGCACCTGGAGCTTTAGTAGACTAAAGAAGGTAAAAAAAAAAATGCAGGGAAAAAAAAATTCAACTGAAGACCACCAAATCTACCTAGCACATTCATGCATATATTTATGTGTTGGGTTTTTTTTTTAATAATCCAGAAAAGAAAACAGTAATGTAAATGGAGAAAAAAGCATGTTCAAGACAGGTAAGGGACTTCTGCTTTATCATCTTGTTCTTCAATTTCATTTCAGCTCTTACACTGATAATTTAAATATGAAGTCAACTAAAAGAAGAACAAACAGTACTGAAAGCAATTTCTAGACAGCTGCCTTAACCTTCTTGGTTAATCCATCACAGCTGCCTTCTACATACTAGAGGCAGTAATACTGAAGTCTGCTCTGAGACTTCATCATACTTATTAAGCTAAGGAACTTAAAGAATCGATTTCTATCTGCTGCAGTAACACTTACTATAATGATAAGCTTAAACCATATTCTGTGCATTCAAATGTGAAATACTTCACATAATACTAAATGCACGACTGTCTGAAATCCTATCTGATTGTCAGACCTATTTCCACAAGGCAACATTTTCATGATGCTTGGTATCCAAGCTCCAAAGATTGTACACAACTGGATTATGACAATCAACCAACAACTTTATCTCCTCTATCTGCTCCCAAAGAAAATACGGCTGCACTAAAATTGCAGTCTTAAGAGTGACTTTAAAAAACAAGTCACTATGCTGGCACAATAAATATTTTAAATCAGTTGTTTATCTTTTGGTATCAATGTCACAGCCTTAAATACAAGCATTCATGTTCTGACTTCATCTTTACTATCTGCAAACATGAGGCCTCATCTGAAATGACATTCAAGTAATGTGTGTAATATTAATATAGATTTATAGGTAAGTCCTCAGAAACCCTTGATTTAAAACCCAAAAATCTGCATCTTTGGAAGAAGAAAAAGCATTCTATTTCAATCTCAGGAAATCAAAAGAAAAAAAGTCAATACTTGGAAGCTTCCCAGCGTGTTACTAGGGCTGCACATCAAAGCTTCCAGCATTTAGATTAGATCAAAGGAGAATGCATTACACTGAAAATAAACAAAAAAATCAACATTTACTCACCTTGTCTCGTGGCACAGAAGAAGGCAATTCCCGTGCTAACCTGTTACGCCGCTGTTCCTTTAAAAATAATCCAGCAAGACTTCAATTATGCATCGCTCTGTCTCAATACACATCCAACATTCATATGTTACAGATGACTTCAAATTTTAAAAGACAAACAAACACTGATACTTGAATTTCAGCTAGTGCTTTGTAACTATACTACGATCCTATAAAAGCCTCAGTTTGGATAAAACCACTCCAATTATCAGATCAAAAGTAAATTTTCAACATAAAAAGCTTCTGCAAAACTTTTTGCAACACTCTTCATAATCAAGACCAGAGCCTTTAAAAAACAGGATCAAAGCTAAGCAGTTTGGCTCAGCATAGATTCCCTATGACCTTCAGTAAGCATTAAATCTTCAAAATTAGCTGGAAGGATTTAATTTCACATCCAGCATAGTTTACTCTGATTAGCCAAAAAGGAAACATTGACTTCACAACAAAACAGAATTTGAAGTGATCAGATCAAACCAAAATCTGATTTTTCTTGAAATTAGTAATTGATTCTCCACTGAATAAAGATAAGATGTTTTACATGCTCTGTTTCTTCAAAATGTTCAACGTCCTGTTCAGGAAGATGTTGGAAAAAGAACTAATTTAGCTAACAGACAATAAAACAATAATTTCATATGTTCAACTTGACAGAGTCCTAATTCTCATACTCACAGCAGTTTGTGTAGACACTGTACCTGAACTAGAATTTACCTTGGCAGACTGCTCTTCAATCAATTGCATAACCAGTCAATACAAAATATATAATAGAAAGCAAGAGGTTAGAACCACCCATCAGAAATGACAATATAAGCATTTAATGAAAGAACGTAACTGTAGAAAAATGTGTTGGATTAACAAGTGAACACAAGAATATTAGCAAGCTCTCATGCGAATGAATGAAATACTGCAATGAAAATAGGACTTTGGGAAAGAATTCCATCTACCACACTTGTATAGCAACTGCTTCTATAGGATTATGATAGCAATAGAGATTACCTATCAAAATTGAGTGTGCAAAACAGAAAGGCTACAGAAATTGTAAAACTATATTTCTTTAAAGTCTCTCTTCCGAACATTTCATTTAATAACCACTTCTCTGATGCCTATCTTATTTTTCAGAAAGACACAGAAGCAGAACTGTTTTCAGTAAAATATCAACCACTGGTTCTGAACATAACATGCAGTATAAATCTAATACATCAGCTGATCACAAAGTGTACACTCCACTGGAATATAATCAAACCTCCATACTTCAAAACATTCAACTATGCTTCATAGAAAAATTGACAAGTCTGTTCTGTCAGTAGTTATTTAGATTCTCATTTGAAAAGTCAAAAGATAAGACAGATTGGAGCAAGATATAACTTGTGATCATAGAAAATCCTTCAACTTATCCACTTTTCACTAAGCATATTGAACTTATTTTTGATGAAGATGTATTTTCTTACCTCTATGTTGTTATTCATTAACCCACAGGCATCAGCAAAATCTGGATGTTTGGTATTGATATAGGCTAACTCAATAGCCACTAAATTGTGAACCTGCAACGAAAGGATATTCACAGAAATTCAGTGAGTCTAATGGTAGCAAAGAAAAATGACTTACACTGATATTCTAATTGCCTAGAGCACAATACATTGTAACTGTCCTTAGCCAAAGATTGTTCTTACTGCCCCAAAGACATGAAGTTCTGACCTTGAAGAAAGCAAGAAAGGAATTCATTCTATCACTGCAACACACTCAGATATTCAGCTTTTCTTGAAATATGTATCAGTTTAACTTGTTAGCTTTATTAAGCTAACCACCCTCCAGCAAGAAATAAATAAACTCAGCAATTTAAGGAGTGTAAATAACACAGTCACAAGCCACAGTGAGAAACACTGCACTATTTGCACATAAAAGTTTTGTTTGCTTTTCACATAAAGATACTTTGTATTGATCTCCAACAAGCAGCATATCAGAAATTGAATTATCAGCTCTCATTTGACAAAAGCCATTAAAAGTGAAAACACTTTACCTTGACCTTCTTGAAAAAAATGAAACATAACCCTACCACGATCCTTTTGTTTTTTATCTATCTTCTTCTGTACTACAAGCTTCAAACAATGTAGCTATTAAATAGTTCACCATTATGAGTTGTGATTCTTTTAAAAATTTGGGTTCCAGACATTACAAAGCAGATAGAAGCATCAAGGAAAAGTCCAGAAAACACTTTTTCCAGCAACATTATAAAACATGAAAAATTACCATTTCATTTGTGACAGGAAGCCTTCTACGCAGAAGACAGGTTACAACTTCAACTATGGCATCGTGTAACTTGGGAAACCTCAGCAACTCCTAAAAACAAACATTTACTGATAAGACATTGGGGTTTTTTGAGGGTTGGGGGTTGGGGAGAGGAGGGAAAGAAGGGTGGGAAATGCCCAATAATTTAGAACATAGCTCAAACACGTTATTTTTACCTGTGTACTGTAATTACTACAATGCTGTATAATTCTTTGCATTTCTTCATGAACCAGCTCCACACAGCGAAGGCTGGGCTCTTCTAAACGTTTGATTTGCCTTTTAACCAGCAATTCAAATGAAACTTCAGGAACAAACAAGGCAGGACGGGGGCCCTAGTTTAAAAGGATGGTAAAAGTTGTGAAATTGTATGTTAAAACGAGGTATTTATATTCAGGAGTTTCTGGTGAAGCCCATAACAAATCAGGTCACGGTGTTCACACCCAGAAGAACACTCAGAACAGGCCTTGCCAATGTAAGAGTAATACCTGTTATAAGAATACTGAAACAAAAAAAGGTTTACAGACTAAAGACATACAGAAAATGCCTGTAAGACTGATTTAGTGTTAAATAATGATTAACCAGCACCCTTGTCAAATCTTGAGCATTTCTACCTGGTCTTATAATTATTTTCAGGTTTATGGATCCAAGTTTAAATAAAATTTATAACAAAGACTAAAACATTCTCTTCCTAATTTTCAGCAGACAGGAGAAGTAGCACAGTTTAGGGGCCATACAATTCTCACTGGATGACAGCTGGGTTTGCTTTTAAATATACTTGGGTGCAGTGTCACTGTGTCATAAATTAAATTATCCCTAACGCTGACCTTGCAGATCAATACAATTTATCAGCCACTAAATCCTGTGTTAGATTTACAGAAGGACAGCAGCATGCACACATTTCATTGCTGCAAGTATCTGATGTATTCCAAGTCTAAATAATTACTGACCACAAAACACATCCGTCTGACTGCACCAATCAAAACTCAATATAAAAGCTGACTTGTTTGTTCAGTCAAGTTCTAAGGAGTGAACATTCTTTGTACTGCAACATTTAGAAGTAAACTTACAGTGAATTCTTAGCAACATCGATTCCCACATTGACAACAAAACCAATCATGTAAATACTAAACTACTAATGAGTCACAGCCTTTAAAGAAAATGAAAATATCTGAACGTGTCCTAGCCTGCAGATCACACACTGAGTCTTCATAGCTAACACAGAAGTGCTTCATGCAAAACAAGTGCATAAGCAGTCCTTCATCACACTTTCTCATACAAGTAACAGTACAGGGCTGCCAAAGTTGGGCCTAAGCTTAATTTCAGCCTATTCACAACAGAAACAAGCAAGCACTTCCCTTAAACTTATTCCATATCTGATAAAGGCTGCAAATCTGAATGTTGTATTTTTCTCTTGAAATAACAAAAAGGAGGATTCAGCGTATTCACGCAAACTCATTCAGTTGTTGTTAAGTCCTGAAGCAGCATGAATTAGTTGAGATCTTATTTTGAATCCAATATATACAGGAACAGCACTTAGAACTACAGAGTAACACTCACAGTAGCATTTCTAATGGCAGTCAGGATATCAATTGTATTAAGGCCACCTAGAGGGTCAACAGATTCTAAGGTTCGTCCAAAGGTCTCATGAAAGATGTAACAGATTCTGGCTCCACCACATCTGAAACAGCAAAGTAACTGAAATTAGTAAAGAAGAAAAAAGCTCTCATTATGAACTTTTTTACGATTACTTACATTCAAAGAATATATATATATATTTTTTTACTATATTATACTCTAGTGTACTATTACTGCCAGTGTAAGTCAGCAGGAGTTACAGGCTCAATCTAAACACATAGTCAAAGTTCCAGAAGACCATTTATTACTCACAGCTCAGAAGTCTCTATGTATTTTGCTGTTCCTTCAATAGTATTGCAATATTCTGTAGCAAATTTGGTAATAAGTTGCAATAAAGTGGCACTTTTGTCCTCAACAGGTTCCCCATAGCTATTAAGCAGAGACTGGTACTGAGCAGCTAAAACGTTGATTCTGGTTTTCAGTTCTGGCAAGCAGTCCCTGATATGATGCATGAGTAGTCTAAAAATAAAAAACAGACCTTTGTGAGAGGGAAGGAATTTCAGTGTTATCTCCATCAAAAGAGAGATGAGACAGAAAATAACCAACAAAGGAAAACATTCGCTCAGGGAAATTACAGTAAATTCAGAAATTGAATTTGGAACCAAACAGAGCTTTCCTTATTGTTTCACTGTACAACACCAAAGTAAAAAGGAAAGGTAGATATAAATGATTACATATATTGTATATCAATCTACATTTCAACATACCTTGAAAAGCACACACAATTGTTTGGTTGTTTGGTTTTTTTTATATAATACCTGTTCAGTGTTCTAGCAAGATACTTAGTTCCATTTCGATTGGCTAGGGAGGGATACTTCTTTTGAAGAAAACCATATTCATCACGAATAGAATCGGCTACACTCTTCTTATTGTTAATATCCAGCTGACTCCTGAAGTTAAAAGACATAGTTTCACGCTAGTTAACATTCAAAAAACAATTCACACTTCTTTGCTGCCTGACAGGACAATTAACCAGCAGAGTTTTGCTTTAGACAAGAAAAAAGACAACTGTTCCTATTTCTTGGTCAATAAAGAAGTGGTTCATCTACTGTCCCATGGAGCACAGGTAAATCAGTACAGGTAGCAGTCATACACAGACTAAGCAAAAAACTTTATAGTACATGAGATTAGATCTAGCTGATGCAAAAGATCAGAGTGAACACGTACTAAAGACAGTACTGTGCTGTTAGCAGTTGCTTAGCCCTAATATATAGTATCTATTAGTGCTGAATTAGCAATAATGTGAATAGCTGATCAGAAACATCCCTCAAGCTAAAAAAAAACAAACAATCAATAGTGGGAAGAAATAATGCTACAGTTCTTCTAGAAAGGAATAAAGACATTTCTTCTAAATTAGCAGTTGGTTGATGGGAAGAACAACAGATTTTTGAAAAGTAAGCAACAGGTTTGTTGGTTGCTTATTTCAATGTCAAGTCACCTTACTCTTAAAATTCATACCCATGGCTAAAGAAGTCAAAAAATAGTGTAAATGTGCCCAGACAGACCTGTTCACTACTCCAATGATGCCAAGTTTTACTGGAATCACTCTGCCCATGAGCACATCCATAGCATCAGTGCCCGCATCCATGAGATCCAGCTTTGTGATAACAGCAAGGGTTCTTCGACCTATCAAAAGGACAACTCACTCACAGGGATGCTTTGTCTTCATCAAAGCTCAGCATTCACAAAGTTTCTCATACAATTGCATAAAATGTAATAGATCAAACCAGCAGAGACCAGCGCAAGAATGTGTGGTGCTCGTCTACCTGTAGCCTTTTATTAACAAAAGCGTAGAAAAATAACCATTTAGCACATATTGCTCCCCATGCATAAGTGGTTAAAGATTTAGGAAACATGCAGTTTGAAATTGTATAATTGCTAAATGTAATAAATATTTTTGAATAGTACTTGAGGTTGCTGTAAAGCATTTATGGAGAAGACTTAAGGCAAATAGGCAGGGGACCTGTAAGTGTGAGCAAACTGAACACGTTTCTAGGATATATGTAACACCACATCATGGCAATTCACATAATGAAACTATTTTTGAAGCACTTCTACTGCTGGAGAAGCTGCCAGAGGAGGTAACAGGACCACTTCAATCACTGTGCATCAAACACATTCTCAAAAGTACCAAGAGTCTGAAGAAGCAGCATGAGATTAATGAAAGAGATTTTTGTCAAATATGTAACTTAATGTTTTCTGAGTGAAAACAACTTTGTATTAGATACTGTGGGAGAAACAGTCACTCAAATTCACTTTGCATACTACTACAAAGCCTGCAACATGACCTGAAACTTCAGATCTTTAAAGCTTAGAATTTTGGGAAGTGATCCAAAAAACACAGCTGATCACTTTTACAGGAATAAATGAAAAAGAAAAGCTCCGCTGGCTGGAACCAGGACAATCTGACTAAAGAGAAAACCAAGGGAAGAGATTCTCCCTCGAAGCTGTGGACACAGAGCTGACCTGTAGTTTGAAAGCCAGTAAGAAATACTACTTCTATGAGAAGAATTTGATGGGAAAGCATACCAACACAAATTTTTTCCCTAATTTCAATATACCTATGTTCAGAGTATACACTTTCATAGTCTTTCAAATTATACAGTACCATTTATTAGTAAATAGCAGCTTCAGCTTTGTTTCAAAGTCATTAGGCAAATATAAAAGTTATCCTTTTTAGATTAAAACAAAGCAGTCAGTTCTGTCATACAAATGTGGAACACTAAAATGGATACTAAGAAGACATATTAATTGCATTCTCACCAAAAGTCATTAAAGTAACATCTAAACAGATAATTACTACTGCAGGATGACGTTATTTTCTCTTACAAAAGCAAAAATATTTGACAATAAAGCATGAAGTCATCCTAACAGATTACACTACTAAAAATCTCAAAACCACTAATATTCTGTAATGCCATTTTGTTGCTCTGAAAACAGATGTGGCTTGTAGGACTATTAAAATAGTTTTCTGATCTGTTTGTGAGTCAAAAAGCTCTTAAGATATTAATTGATCACAATTTTTTCTGAGTTGCAGAGGCTGAAACTGGAAATCTTCAAGCAAATATAATAATTGTATTTTCCAGGAAATTAAGTAACATTTTCCTCACTTCTTTTTGCTCAAACAACTTCTGCTTTGTTTTTTTGTTTGTTTGCTTGTTTTTTTAATTAAATTCTAAAATAAAGCTGAAGCTGAATTACAAGATCTACTTTTTCTTGCTGCTTACCATCTGGATCCACTTCCCGTGCAATTTTAAGTGCTTCTGAAGTGGCCATGTCTGTGTTTGCTGCTGTGACTGCCAGAATAATTGAATTTGGGTTGCTGATGAATTGAAGGATTAGTTCTCTTATTTGAAGTTCAATATCTTTGGGCTGATCACCAACAGGCACCTAGGGGGAAAAAAAATATAGTGCAGAACTACTCAAAACTATACATTTATTCCCATGTTAGATCACTAACTAAAGTTTTCAGCTCTTCCCTTTCTCTCTGGGGAGAAAAGAAAGAAGAAAGTGAGAGAAAGAGAGAAAGAGGAAAAGAAAAGAGAGAGGGAAAGAAAGGAAAAAAAGAAAGAAAAAAAAAAGAATGAAAAAAGGTCACTGTAACAGTGAATTGCACCAGAAACCTAAATCCTACACCAGAAGATGGTGACATCTCAAACGTATATAGCCAACTACTTTATCTGAAGGAAAATGTAAACAACTTTTAAGAACTGAAACACTAATCTAACAATACAAAACAAAGCTTAAGATCAAACGAAAGCTCCTTGTTTCAAAACACAGTGCTTTCAGAAGGAGAGCATTTCATATCTTACCTTTGTCATTCCTGGTAAATCCACAAGAGTCAGATTCACAACATTAGACGAAAAAATCTTAAGATGAATTGGTTCAGGACTGATACCCTAGAAATGTATTCACAGTAAAGTTAATCACTGTACCAAATTACTTAAATGACACTTTGGAAAGTCAAATCTGAAGTTCTGTAATAATACATATATAAACAAAAGAATACATTTCTTCCATCATGCATCTTATCTGTTTGGTAGAAGAAAAAAGAAAGCCACATCTGCCAACCAATTTCTTTGTATTTAGCAGTTGCCTTGTTATCCCCTCAATATAATGCATAAAAGGCTTTATTTCATACAATAATCACAGAATCACAGAAAGGCCTGGGTTGAAAAGGACCACAACGATCATCCAGTTTCAACTCCCCTGCTCTGTGCAGGATCACCAACCACCAGACCAGGCTGCCCAGAGCCACATCCAGCCTGGCCTTGAATGCCTCCAGGGATGGGGCATCCACAGCCTCCTTGGGCAACCTGTTCCAGTGTGTCACCACCCTCTGTGTGAAAAACTTCCTCCTAATATCTAACCTAAACCTCCCCTGTCTCACTTTAAGACCATTCCCCCCTGTCCTATCACTATCCACCCCCACAAACAGTTGTATCCACTCAGTCCTTCTCCGCAGGGCTGCTCTCAAGTTCTTCTTCTCCCAGTTTGTATAAATACCTGGGATTGCCCTAACCCAAGTAATTACACAGATATTCAGTAACACAATACTTAATTTTATAATCACACATGAAGGAATGCATATGGAAACAGTGGAAGCAAGTTTAATATTTTTTGCAGGATTATTGTGGAAGTTTTGAAGTAAAGCAACAACAATTCTCTGTGTTTTCTTTTAGCTTTAGTGACTTGACTCACGAACACAGTAAAAAATCATTAGACACAGTAATGTTGCTTGCTATCTCTTCTTCAGAACAGTTCAGTGCTTTTCACTTTTAGATGTCAGAACAGGTTAATAAAGCTTTCAGTAGCAAGAGAATCTACACCAAGACAAAGATAGAAAGTTCAGTATTTACCTTGTTATTTCCTGAAATTCTTTCTGTTTCATTTTCTATTTCCTGACGAATTTCATCAAAATCTGTATAGATCTGAAGTACAAAAAAGAAAGATTATGTAGATAGCCATTTATTCACAAACATCTAATAGTGAAATAGTGCCTGTTTCTCCAAGAGACAGTGAAAAATTATCTAACTATGTATACAGAAGGTGAGGGGGAAGAAAGGAAGAGTGACTAATAGCTACTGCAAAAGCTACTGCTGTGACAACAACCATCAGTGCTCAGAATTAAAGGAATCAGAATCTGATGGCAGTTACCAGCACTTACAACAATATCAGACAAGGCAGAAAACAAACTGCATTCACCTACAGAGAATTTCACATTTAATTCTACCACTAGTCTAGTTACAAGCTTTTGAAGTTGATGAACATCAAGCTTCTACTCCTTCACATCCTGGGAAGAGACAAAGAACACAGCCTATCATTTCCTTTTTTACATTCTTGTTTACTGTGTCCTCTTTCCATCAATGAAAAGAAGCCACCACCAAGCTACTCCATCCACATGTTTCCTCTGTGTTCCTCTTCAAGATCTCTTCAACTTTCAGTACTATCTACACAAAGTGAGGAAATCAGTTTAAACTAGTAAAACATCTGCCAACAAGGAGTTTTGCAGCTGGCAAAGACAATCAAAGCCTAATTCTTAACTTGAAATCCTCAGCCATCCCTGTTTCTCTCTCCTTGCTAAGTATTCGACTCTTCCTTTTCACACCCTTGTAATATACCTCTAAAGTAGTCAATTCCTCAGTGGACTAAAACAACTTGTGATATACAATTGTGTATATCAATTTAATTCATGCCCAAAAGAAAAGAAAAGCAGCAAAACAACATTTTTAGGGTCAAGATAAATAACTCAGCGGAATCAATGATCCACATACAGAGTTACTGGCAAGTAACTAAGGCTTTGGTTAATCTTCTACTCTTAGAAACAGAAAAACCTGAATATTCTGGCATGCAATATAGCAGAATGGTTCTCTTGCTTGGGAAAGGCTGCTCTGTAACCAGAGCAAACGTACCTTATTTTTGGTGTGAAGAAATTTACCCCACTCTTCAGCATCTATCTCTGAAACAAAGAATTGGTACATGAGGAAGAGGAAGCAGATTTTCCAATCACATTTTTCTGAGTTTGTTTGTTGAAGACTAGAATGTGATTTTTTTTTTTCAAGCAGCAAGAATTAGTTCACTTTCTGCTATTAGACATTAAATGGCTCAGTACAAATGCATTTATGATTCTGCTTATTTAAGCACAGCATCTTTAATTTGTCTCTCTTCCACAACGTCTGCCTTCATGATTGTGAACTGAGCCAATCAGCTGTCCTACCATTCTTTGGAAAAGGTCTGAGTTCATTAAAAAATCAGCTTGCAACAGAAAACAAAATAATTATTAGCAACAGCTTAAAAAAAAATACCCTGAAAAAAATATTCATCAGCTTATAGCAACTTTTCTTTTACCATGCAAATGAGATCAAATTGCAGCTGAAAGAAAAAGTTAGAAAAACCTGTAGAACCAAAACAAACAAACAGAAAATACATAAGTACTTTACATAACAATGAAGTCTTAGGAAAGCATGTCTCTTCCCAAATCTGTCATGGACCAAACATCTTAATCTGTCACCACAGATGCCTGAAATTACTTGGGGGCTCTTCAAGAGCAGTCCCAGAAACAGCAAAGACGGGTTGGTCAACTCCTGCTCTGTGGTGTAGGCAGCAGGCAGAGTCATGCTGCAGTTCCACAACTGGGTTTCCAAATACCAAGAGTTCCACATAGAGTTTTTCAGTTTGTGATCCTTTCCCCTCTGCTACTCAATGAGCAATCTGCTCTAGAAAAATAGCCTACACGAAATTTCACAGCTTAACAAACACACTGCTTACCTAACATTAAGTCAGCATTCAAAACATATTTTCACTCAAAGCGAATTTCAAGGTACTTCAATCAGAGATCTTTTAAAGGATTTGGGAATTAAAAGTGCAGAAAGTTCTATGAGGCAGCAACCACATAGAAAAGCAAAAGTCATCTCATTCTAAAGCAACAAGGTCAGAAAGCTAAAAAAAAGAAAACAAACCAAACCTAAATCACAAGACTTAGCAAAATAATCAACATAGTAGCCAATGTGTAAAAGAGTGATCACCAATAAAGTGGCATGAAATGGACGTGGTTAGTGTATACAGGCATGCACTTCATGTGCAGGGAGAAAAAGCAAACGGATAAAGGCAACCTTTAGAAAGGTGTCTTGGATTTTTCCATGTAGCAGGGTCTGCAGTTAAAGAGAAACAGCAGTGAATGATGTTTAAAAGTTTTCATCATATTTAACATATTTAGCATTTTATTAACCCTTCACCACGAGATTATATTACAAAGATTCACAAATGCATGCAGACAGATGTGCATGCTAGTCCATTACTGATGAGAATGTATAACATTAACAATATGCACAGCAGTAAGATCTTAGCACTGATAAATGATGAGTATTAATCAGATATTCCATATCACAAAGTTTACTTGATGATCTCTTTACTATTGCTGCTCATCTGATTCCAACACTTTACAATATTTTTGTCTGAGGACAGAGAAAAGCAACACTTGGTTCTGCAAAGCTGAACTTCTTTGGCAAAATACATTTGTCATCATTTACTCGTGGCAAGAATGAGACAAAGTCAGGTACGTATTTAGTGTCACTGGAGATAATATTACTGCAAAGGAAAGAAACCTGAGTTTTGCATCCATCTTTTTAAATGACGAAAATAAATCTATGCAGATTAAAAGAACCAATTACAGCAATTCTGAGACAGATTTAAGAAGAGACAACATTAGCTATCACCATTCTCAGCTTTGTGAGAGTTTCTCACCTATATAAACCCCATCACAAAAACAAACGAAAAGTTCAAAGTTCATTGAAGGGTTGATGAGTTTACGACTGTATTTTTCTGTGACACCAGTAGAGCCTCATGGAAGTGCAAGAACAAAATAAACCAGGGAAGACCTTTTTTTGTTGCATGCTGGCTTGTTTGGCACAAAATGCAAGGAGCGCAGCAACAACTGGCTCATCATTTTGGAAAGCTTGCTAGATCTGGGGAGTTAATTCTGATGTCTTGCACTTGTGGGTAAGTCAGAACTTTTTCAGTTGAAATACACCGATTTAGATGAACTGGATCTATTAAAAAAAAACAAAATTATTAAATATACTTCTGTCCTCACTGCTTTATTAGAATTAATGAACAACCACAGGCATACAGGAAAATCATTGTTAAGAGGCAGCTGTTTTTTTTTTTTTTTTGTGTTGGCTGATAAATCAACAAAATCACATACCAGCCTCCACCTCAAAAAAAGTGTAAAATGAAAGGACTTATTAATTTCACATCATTAAACAAGCTTAACTTTACTGTATAAAGGAACTACAGCAAAATGCACATTAAGGAAAAAAAACTACAGTACTTTCAAAGTTGTATTACTCATCCCCTCTTAAGAACTGAGAGAAAGATGATGGGCACAGAACCAGAAGATACAGCAAGATATTGCCACCACCACAATTTGAAAGAAATGGAGCAAGCACTCCTTTGTTATCTTCTTCTCAGGGAGATGATGTAGGACATGCTGTTTCAGATTTAAATTACTGGTTTTCTGGCAGCACAGAAATTTGCTGCTAGATTTAGTCCCATGCATAATTTTTTGGGTTTTTTTTTTTTTTTTAATATCAACCAACAGATTTTAAAAATAGATACAAAAAAAAAAAAAAAAAACAACAATGCATTTTATTGAGAAGTATTACATTTTAACCTGTTAACATCCATGGATCTAATGAGAGGGGTTTTTTTAAAGCTTTAACAAGATACAAGTTTTCCTTGCTATATATAACACAAGAGAAGATTGAACCTGTGATAAAAGGCTTAGTCTTAACCTCAGCCTCAGAGCACATGGAGGGAAAAAGAAAAAAAAAAAAAAAAAGGAATAAATGCAACGTCCCAAGAAGTACAGCAGGTCTCATTTGGTGCAAATGTAAGTTTAATTCATCCTAGAAGTTTCATTTTATATAGTGGGAATCTTTCACCTCACTCACCTGAAGTCTATGATAATACACAGACCTTTGACATTTGAAAAAAAAAAAAATTCCCAATGGTTTTAATTTAATGCATTTGAGTTTTTAGGAAAGGAGGAAGGATTCGCATCAGGACTTTGAAAGTAAGGATTCTCAAGGCAAGGAGGAAAGGATTGATAAATGTGACAACACAAATTACAAATCACAAGGAATCACAAAGCAATAAGGCAGTTGCACTGAAGATCTGGTCAGGCAAACAGTTCACAAGCACATTCAGAAAGCAACACGCTAAGGCTGATGATCTCTTGTCCAAGATTTCGTGGATAAACCATTCACACCAACAAGGTCTTACCCACAAGTCTTCCCTCTACAAAATTTATAACATTCAAGCTGTACCTCAACATGCAAGTCATAATAAAGGTAACATCTGTATCTGTCAGTATAACAGGCTGCCATCTGTTTTTTTCCAAGCTTGATCCCATGTTTTCAGATGAAACAAGATAATCTGTGCATAAACTAAACCGCATCAATGACAAACTCATTGATTTGCCTGAATTTTTGAGGGAGAAGAGAGGCAAGTCAAATGCAACTGGTGAAAGTTACAGAAGTTTGTTCTTAACAAACAAGCCCACATTTCTCTCAAAGGAACATCCAAAAGAAATTATGTCTTAAATATTGATGGTTTTTTCTAAAAGTCTAAATGGACCTTATAAATATTAATTCAGCCCAACATCCTAGTGCAGTAATACAATGATCCCACTTCCAATTTAAAAATCAAATCCCTGGATCAAATGCAACCTACAGCAGAAAACCTCTGCCTTGACTCGGAATTCCCTTCATTACAAAATTATCTTGTATACCTGTAAAGTCACAGAGAATAACAAAATCCTGTTTTATGTAACAACCCAGAATCAAAGGTTGTTGTTTTTTTTTTTTAAAGTACCAAAACTCACGTATTGTGCAAAGCAATTAGCATGAAGCCACTTAGAAAGAAATCCAACGTGCCATTCTTAAACAATAGGCAAGAGAGTCTATGCATTCCCTATCTTTGAAGGATTTCAAGGCCCAAATGGATAAAGACCTGAGCAATCTGGTCTTGAGCTCAAAGCTGGCCCTATTTTGAGCAGAATACTGGACTTCAGACCTCCCTGAGATCATTTCCATTCTGAATTATTCTATGATCTCTTCACAATCAAGCACTGCCTGGATTGTACACTGAGTCATGCATGCTGAAAGCACTTAATTGTTATGAATCAGAACTGTGTTTTCTGCTTGCAGCAATATTGAAAATGGAAGCTTTAACCTTTCAGCTGCCCAACTTTAGTAACTGTTTTTCAAAATCACAGGGGCTGGAAGGATCCTCAACAGATCAGTGAGTCCAACTGCACTGCCAATGCAGGTTCCCTGTAACAGGTAGCAAAAGTAGGCATCCAGACAAGTCTTGAATATCTCCATAGAAGGAAACCTCTCTGGGCAACCTGTTCCAGTGCTCCATCACCCTTACTGTAAAGAAGTCCTTCTGCATGTTTGTATGGAACTTTTCATGTTCAGGCTTTAGGCCACTGCTCCTTGTCCTATTGCTACGCACCACTGAGAAGAGCCAGGCCTCATGCTTTTGCTTCCCACCCTCCTTGAGATATTTACAAACATTAATCAGTTCCCCTCTCAATCTCCTTTTCCTCGGGCTGAAAAGACCAACAATTACAAATATTACACTGCAAAGAACTTGATACCCTAACTATTCCTAGAAATCAGTTCCGAATAATTTAGACACACTGAGAAATAATAACTATAAGCCCAAGATTATCACACCATCAAAAGTCTGTGTAACTTTCCTATCTAAATTTAATGTGTGTGTGTGTGTGTGTGTGTGTGTGTGTGTGCGCGTGTGCGTGTGACAATCAGTAAGTGGCTATGCCTCTGGTGTTCCTGTGAAAGAGCAAGAGCAACAGGAGTGTTCAAACTTCCAAGGGACCACTGAGATGACTTTCTTCATCTGAGGCAAGGTCATAATGAAGCATCACAGAAGACAAAAGCTTCAAGGTACACCTTCAGACAACTTAAAGCATCGTTCTTGACGTGCTTAAAATCTCTCGGAGTAGCTCAATCAATTAGTAACTGTAAGCTACAAGAACACATCCAATTCTCCTCACATCTGCCACAGCTTTCTTTGGTTTTGGTTCTCCTACTGCTTAGTCCAGAGCTTATCCATCTCTTCACCTCCTTCTAAAAAGTCACACGCTCCTAACTTCAAGGAAAGGTCTTATTTAAACAGCAAAAGAGAAAGGGGAGTAAAGCACACACAAGGAAATCTTGTTCTTGATGCTTCATTATCAAAACTGACAATCGTTATCAAAACTGAAATGCTTCCTTTGGCCTGATTTTCTCAAAGGCACTTGCTAAGAACAAACAGGAATGCTTAAAACATTAAAGATATTCTAAATACACAAAAGCTTTTGATGTCATGACATTTGCTTTATGGACATCACAGTTGTGACAATGGCAGTCTTTTCTTCCAAGGAAACTTATTTAAAAAAAAAAAAAAGTGTTTTAAGATTACAACAACTGATTTTACAGTAAAATACACCAGAAAATTAAAAGTCTATTTCCTGCTACAACAAACACACTCTTGGATCACACTTACCATTTTCATCTCCAGCTGTTTTCCGACCATCCTCTGGGGAAACATGCACCAGCTGCAGAATGAGGGGTCTTCGGGTCACAACTCCGGTACCTCGTGGGAGCAGATCCCTCCCCACAAGGCTTTCCAACACTGAACTCTTTCCACTGCTCTGAAAATTGGAATACAGTTACATGACCTTCTTGAACAACAAAATGCTGCCAGTGTATCAGTTTTAGTTTGTTTTCACTCCCTTAAACATCGTTCAGCTATCCTCTGCTATACAGTTATATGGAGCATTCAACAGACTTGTTATATCTAATAGGGATACCATACCACATAGGCAATAAAGGACAAATCTGATATAAAACAGTAAATTTCTAAACTTGACCTTGACATTTAAAAGCCATGGTGATAGATGCATCTTCTATTTTTTAAAGCTAAATCAAACAAGTAAAAATAAATCTATGTCATTTTCTAACATCTTGCAGTAACACTTAACACTGTAGTCCAACACGAATAAAAGCAGGAACATCAAACAGAAAACAGTAACTATATACAATTTGAGTCCATCAAGCCAAGACAATCCTGTACTTCTAGTAGTTTTTTATTATTATTCATAGATACTATGTTACATTGGCTTCATTAGTACAAATGATGCTTTATAATCTAAACGTATGAACAGAAGTTGTTTTATGTTGTTTTTCCTCCTCTGCATGTGTGTGTGCATGTATACACACAGATATCTACTACTGGATGGCTGCAAACATCTATCCATAGAATAACAATCTGTAAGAAACTGTGAAATGCTTAGAGGTTGGCAAATTCTAAACTCTCTTTAAGCACCTACATTCAAAGCATTCCGTAAAATCTCTCACAAAACATCAAATTAGGCTACATGGTCCAATAAGAAAATGTGAACACATGGGTTGTAAGAGTGGTTCAAGATTACTATCATATTAAAACTATCATATCTAAATTAATAATAGACACAGTTATGTCACCATAGTAGTTTGAAAATCTGACCATTAAGATTCTGAGGGTAGTGTTTTGTTTTTAATATTGTATTAATATTGCATATGTATTCAATTCTTCCTGTTTTCTGTAGTTAATAAGTCAACATGGGCACGTCATAAGAAAACCTGCCCTGACAATCACAGTAGTCAGTTAGGAGTTGCTACTATATGAATCATCTTACCAAACAATTACTTATCAATATCATTTGTTTTAATGGATGAATAGCAAAACAACACAGATTGTATACATTTTTCCAAATAAATCTACATCAAATTCCATGGTAGTCAATTGAAAGGAAGAGGTGCAATCCCAGGCACATAGACAGGCTTGAAAACTAGGCCCAGGTGAACCTAATGAGGTTCAACAAAGCCAAGTGCAAAGTGTTACACCTGGGTCAGGGCAATCCCTGACACAAATACAGTCTGAAGGAAATGAGAACAGCCCTGAAAAGAAGCCTTGGGTGTATCAGCAGATGAAAATCTGAATATGAGTCAGCAGTGTGTGACTGAGAAGGCCAACTGCATCCTGGGCTGTATCTACAGAGGGGTGGCCAGCAGGATGAAGGGGATGGTCCATCTCTGTTCTGCCCTCATGAGGCCCCATCTGCAGTACTGCGTCCAGGCCTAGGTCCCCCAGTGCAAGAAAGATGTGAAGCTGTTGGAATGGATCCAGAGGAGGGCCATGAAGATGCTCAGAAGGCTGGAGCACCTCTCCTATGAAGAAAGGCTGAGGATGAAGCTGGGCTTGTCTGCACTGGACAAGAGAGGGCTCCAGGGTTGGAAGGGACCTCAAGGATCATGAATCTCCAACCCCCCTGCCCCATGCAGGGCCACCAACCTCCACATTCAATACTAGACCAGGCTGCCCATTACACCCTTCCAGAACTTGAGGGAAGCCTATGAACAAGATGGAGAACAACTTTTTATAAGATTATGCAGTGGCAGGATAAGAGATTATAGCTTCAAGCTTAAAGAGTGTAGGTTGAGATTACATGTAAGGCAGAAATTGTTCACAATGAATGTTGTGAGGTACTAGAGCAGACTGTAGCTGTAGATGCCCCATCCCTGGAGGTGCCCAAGGCCAGGCTGATTGGGGCTTTGGGCAACATGATCTAGAGATGTCACTATGCACGACAGGCAGACTGGAACTAGATTATTTGCAAATGCCTCTTTCAACACAAACCATTCTATGATTCTATACTAAATTACACACGGAACTAGAACACTATATCCTACATCACTCCCACAGCCCAGGTATTTTCAGACGTAAAAGGAATTATCTGAATCCTTTGCAGTGGTTTAATAAATGGCAAATGTGAAGTCATACATTTGATGAGACATTGCAATACTCCACACATCAGGAAATTTGTTTCTAATTGCATTAGGTTTCCTTACTGAAGCAATCTGCTTTTGGAACATGATACACTATCTAATAATGCACTCCTTAATCTGGGTCCCATATACATCCATTACCAACAATTATCTGGAAGCACAGCAAGAGGAGCAGTAAAAACAAAACTGATCTTTCTCTGCCAGGGGGGAGAACTGAAAGACACGGAGTCTGTTCAGAATATAAATTCAGTTCAGACAACTTTTCATATCATTGTAGGCAGGGACTAACTATTACTTAGGAGTAAGAGTAGAGTAAGAGTACCAGAGAATTTGAGGGGTTAAATCTGCAGCACCATTATGCTTATTTTATCATCTCCATGGAACTACTGTCATGATTTGAAGCAAGGACAGAAATACCAATTCCAGAAAAGCATCAACACATTCCAATCTTCTGTGGCTAATCAGTCAGGTTTTCCTCTGGACCCTGATCCTAATTTGGCATATCTGCAAGCCGTAATGACCACGGGAACTTTTTATAAACTGCTCAGAAATAAGTGTTTAATGCTCTGCTCTGTTACCCATCTGTCTCACCAAGTTCAGTGGACAGCAAAACAATTTTAGAAGTACAAATAGAAGTACTAAAAAAAGAAGGGAAGATACGCACAGGGACTGAACTTAAGAAATGTTTTATTTCAATACACATTACGTATGATGTAAATCTTACCAGTTTCTTATTGCTGCATAAACAGTTATATTTTCATCACTGTCAACATCTTTTTCAGATTAATCTAAAAGAATCAAGGATGAAGGACAGTAACAGGGAAACAGTGGGGCACTTCTCTCAAAAATTACAAAGCTGAGATCTGTTAGAACTGTGACAATAAAAAAAAAACCAACAGCATTTCTACTCATTAAACATCCTTGTGACCCTGCTTCACATCCTCATTCTACCTTCCATATTTACATGTCCCTGCTTATTTTACCTGTGTGCTCTTCTAAGTATCAGTACACATACGCTCCCATCCATTACACTAATTCTTATGAGAATAATTTCCTTTGCAACCAGCTGAATTACCAGCCACACTTCTCAGGAATTCTGAAGTGGTGGATAGGACATGACTTTGCCCAGCTTCCTTTGCAACAAGATTTTATTTTCAGAAACTCTTCAGGGTTGCTGACATGGCAAATGGAAAACATTCTGCATTGAAAATTTTGAAGTGCTACAAAGAACCCAAAGTGTATAAATACAACTTATCCTAACATTCACCTTTGTAGCTTTCTTATTCTATTTCCAAGTCCTCAGTGACCTAATTAGCAGTCCCAATTTTAGAAGCCATGCTCCCCATATACAGTGTGCCAAGATGCATTCTCCATGTCCAAAAGAGCACTGACTCAACTCTCTCCTGCTATTGACATTTCCTCTCCATTTTGAGTCTCAGTTAGAGGCAGAAAGGCCTACAACATCCTGTTGGTGAAGATAAAGGCAAAGAAGACAATGCATACCTCAGTCTTACCTGTGCCCTTTGTCACTAAATCATTAGTCACCATTAGCAACATGCTAAGAGGAGACTGTCCTTAAGGTCATGCCAACTCTTTTGAGCTTCACTTCCCTATGTCTCACAGGACCTCAACAAGCAGCTCAGGGGATAAGCCAGCCTGCTCCTAGGGAGCCCATGCTGCAAGAAGGCAACACGCAGACCCACCATGAGACTCACTGATACACAAGCACCATTAGAATTTACAGTCATAGGTTGCATATTTCAAGTGTGATTAAAGTAATAATGGGCTTGGCTGCACACATTTTAAGTCATCTTATAAGAATCCATTGCCTTCCTAATGTTTGGGAAAGTTGTCCTGGGGAATTTCCAACAAAAACTGGTTCAAGTGGGGGTAAGTTTTCTTCATCACAGAATCCTTAAAATTGGAAGGGACCTTTGAGGGGGGCATCTAGTCCAACTCCCCTGCAATGAACAGGGACACCACAGCTAGATCAGGTTGCTCAGAGCCTGATCCAGCCTCACCCTGAAAGTCTCCAGGGAAACAGCATCATCCACATCACTAGGTAAGCTGGTCCAGTGCCTCACTACTCTCACTGTAGAAGATTTTTCTCCTTATATCGAACCTAAATCTACCCACCCTGAGCTTGAAGGCATTTCCCCTTGTTCTATCATCATTCCCTTCAAGTGGACCAGATAAACGTTTAATTACCTAATCAAACAGCAAAATAAATAAATAAATTGTACAGAAAAAAAACAATTGTAAAGAACTCCCAAAACAGAATACAGACTTACTACAGGACAGCACAAGAAAATAAGAACGCAATAATAATAATAATGAAACATTTGAGAGTGATCGGAATGGCAAATAGGAGAGGTTTTGCTTCTCTGTGACCCAGCTCCTGAAGAATTTTCTTCAGATAAGCAATGTGTCTACTTTGACATCTGAGACAAAATGGCGGAAATCCTGCAACTTCTGTCACACAAGAAACGATGAGAAAGGCCCTGCAAGCTAAACCATTTCTTAGCAATGAATATGTGTACAGCTTACTCAACTCTAATTTTATTACTGGGAAATATAAGCTGATGCTTATATTTTCACTGTTTTCACATGTTTTCACTGAGGCACAATCCACAGGAACATTACCTTCTTTTTAAAGCATCTATGTGGGTACCTCAGTCAGGGTTTCTTCCTGACTGGTATCCATGGGGAGTCTCTTCACAAAAGACAGCTCATGCATGAGCAGCGAGAAAAGCCAGACCTTACAGAGCTCCCCCCATTGTTCAGGAATCCTGTATTCGCAACACACTTAAAAAGAAATGCAGGC